TCAAAATACCCTTTTGACGCTTTTGGTTGGTCATTCTTACAATTGTTTTTCCATTTCTTACTTTCGTCCACTTGAAATGAAAAAAATAAACAATTTACTATTTTTTGTTATTATCTAAGTTTTTTCATATCTTCAGGTATGTGTTGTCCAAAAAAAGATTTTTCTTTTGTTGGCCTTATTTTTATCTTTCTGTTAATTGTTTAATCATATTGATATCAATGCATTTGTATTGTTAATAACACAATTATTTTTTTGAGGTTGACACCAAAGAACAATTTTTTTTTTTTTTTTTGGTAATGGTATGTGTATTCTCATTGACAAATCATTTCCTCTACGACATTAAACTAATGTATGTGTTAATTAACAGAAAACCTGTTAGAATATGATCAATATAGGACCTCGTGTGTTTTTTTAATATTGAATTTAATTAACCCTTCATCTTAAATACTTAATCAATTAACATCTTTTATAATGAAATATCTTCTAACCCCACAACATGGGGATCCTTTCTTAATATGTATAATTTAAAATTATGTAATTTTAAAGATTGATGCAACCAACTAAAGTCACAAAGATTAGAATCTGGGTGGGTATCCTTCCGAACATCAAATGTTGATGTTGATTTTATTATAAGAACCACATACAAAATATTGTTATTTTGTCACTATAATTATCAAGTTTTTCTCTTCTTCGGTCATGTTAAATAAACATATAGGATTGAAGCGATTGCTAACGTTAATTTGCAATTGGTTGTGTTTATTATTTTGTAAGTTGTCTACGAATTTGAATGATATGAATTTAAATATACTTGAAACATAAAATTGTTTTGTTAAAAGTTTAACTAAAGACATTTGCTAATTAATATTGAAACCTAAAATAAATAAATAAATTTAGAAAAAAAAAAGGCTTTATAAAAACAATTAAAATTGGTTTAAAAGTTTGGCCATATGCAAACGATTTTAAAGATGATTTAAAATGTTTTGCCAAAAATTACTGAGTTAAAATGTTTTAACTTGAAAACAAGACTTAAGAAAAATTATAAAATATGGAATTATACAAGTGGTTTTAGAATGTTTAAATACATTCAATGATTTGTTAAAAGGTTAAAGCTTTTTAACTAGAAAACAAAAACTCATTTTCCAATAATGTACTACTCATCTTGAAATACACAATGGTACTAATCTTGGGCTTTGGGGAAAGCGATAATCACTTTCTTGATACCCACTTTCTTAATTTACTATCATGTGATTGATCTATCACAAAAAAAATTTAAAAAAAATTAAGAAAAAAAGATTGATAACCATAGAAGAATAAACTAAGTCGGAAAATCCCACATCAATCTGAAAGTACCATTAGGATAAAAAGTAGAAAAATAGTTACATATATAAATAACTTCACTTTGTGATTGCGACAAACCTCTTTGTAATAGAGACATTTTGGCAATTGAAAATGAAATATGAATTTTAGCCTTGTGAAAATAGTTTATAATATTTTTTAAGAACATTTAAGTTTAATTCTACTTTTATAGATTAATTCGTTTGTTATAACATACAAGTTTTGCATTAAGATGTTGATTGTTTTTTTTAGACAAGATATTTATAATCAACCGATCACATCTACAAACATTTGTAGTAGAATAAACTAAAATCTTATTATATTGATTTTTTTTTTTAAATTTTAAAAGATCAACAATTTTATAGTTTTATTATAAATAAATAACAAATATAAATCAACTTTTAAATATTACTACATAAAATGTGAAAATAAAATACTATAATTAAACACATATATTTAATAAAAACTAACAAAATTTGATTGTAAAGCTATACCTAAACATTACAATTATAAATAAAATATTTTAACACATACAATAAATGAAAATAAACTTTGATTTTAAATAAAAAATTTTAAACTTCTCATTTTACTTTTTCAATTAAATTAATTAAAAACTTACCATAACTTTTTTTCTAAATAAATAAATAATATTGTATTAAATAATATTTTATAAAAATTGACATAAAAAATATAAAGACAATATTAGATTTTTTCTTTTCAAATCTATATAAACAACTCCAACGCATTTATTGTAATTAAATCTTTATTTATAAATTTGCTACAAAAATCATAAGTGTATCCGGAAGACTTTTCTTTTCAAGTATTGTAATTTTTTTTTCCCAAATTGTTTATCGTAGATAATACTAGGGGTGAGCGCGATGTGATTCGGTACGGTTATTAGTCAAAACCTCACCACTAACTGCAAATGTGGTTAATTCATTTTCAAAACGCTTGGTACGGTTATTTTTGCGGTGCGTTTTTTTTTTTTTTTTTTTTTTTTTTTTTTTTTTTTTTGTGTTGCGGTTGTTAACCACATGGATTTTGTGCGGTTACTTTGTGTGATTTTTAACCACAGTTTCGATCTCAAACGGTTTTAAGAGTTCAAACATATTACTTTTAATGATAAAAAAAATAACCATAAAGTATAAGATAATTAACTTAAATCACGAATAACTAATATCTTAAAAACGTCAAATCAATAGTAATTAACAATAAATATCTTTAAATTATTTAATTTCATAATTTTTCAAAGTTAAACATAACAAAAAACCAACACTTTTGTCTTCAAATATTTTATGGGTAAATTACACCAATTGTCCCTCGTGCATATATCAGAAAGCGTGTTTAGTCCCTATTTTCAAAAATTAACTCGGACCGTCCCTCGTTTGTTTTCAACTTGCACGTTTCATCCCTCAAAGGTGATTTTATTGCGAACTTAATCCGTTCCAGAATTGAAATGACGATAATACCCTTGCGTTTTTATTTTATAATTAATTTATTTTTACCCTTATTATTATTAGATTTAAAAAAAATAAAAATAAAACCCCTTCACTTTCCCCACACTTTTAATTAGAAATAAACACACAGATACGATGAGAAGGAAAGTGCAGACACAAATCGTCGGCCACCACCATCATCTCCACCTCTGGTGAACCTTTCTCTCCATTTATCACCATCTCCAGCCAATTCCGTCAGCCCCAGAAACGAGGATATCAATTTCATACGATAACTCTTCTTGGATTCTAATCTTCGATCTGCTTCTTTAACGGAAGAAGGTTAGGGGTTTTTGATTTTGTTGTAATTGTTGCTTGTTCGATGTCTTGTTTAGATGAAATAGACTCATCATAATGACTCTGGTGATCTCCTCTCCGTATGGACCAAGACTCTCGGCGGTCCCCTCTCTATTTCCGATGGGTTCTACATAGAGATGGAGACGTTGCCACCGCCTAGGGTTTTGATCTGCCACCTAGGGTTTCTGATCGAGCTCCACTTCCTATTTGGGGATCAGTAACATAAGAAATAAAGTGTGCATGATGATGGGTGGTTGTCGGAGGTCCGATTCTTCACGTTTTTTGGGGTTAGCATTATCGATACGAAGTTCTTCGATAGCAGCGAGGTTTGGGTTGACCGCCAATGCGTTTGATTTTGAATCCTCCTTCTTATACTACAACTCGTGAGTTTCTATTTACAGGTTTATGGTTTGATCTTCAAGTTTAGGGTTTAGTTAGCTTTGATTTCATGTTCTTGTTTATTAAATTTAAGGGGTGATCGGACATAAGACACATCTTCCAAAATAGGTGGTGGGAGAGAAATAGGAGTGAAAAGTGGTGGTTTCTGGTGGTGATAAGTGGTGGTTGACGGTGGTCATAGGTGATGATAAGTGGTGGTAGCTGAAGTTGAGAAAGAACGTGAAGAATTTTGACATTTAATCAACAATGGAGATGATGTTTATATTTAATTAAATATTTTTTAATAGATTAATAATTTATATTTAATAAACATATAAAAAAGAAATAAATAAGGGCAAAATGGTCTTTTTATGTCCAGAGGGACGAAGCATGCAAGTTTTAAGCAAACGAGGGACGGTCCGAGTTAATTTTTTAAAATAGGGACTGAACATGCTTTCTGACATATGTACGAGGGATGATTGGTGTAATTTACCCATATTTTATATATGTTTCATCCATAAAACTTATCTTATTTTTAATATTTAATATAGTAATAATTAATAAAAAAAATTGTATGTAATATATGTGGTGCGGTGCGGTTTCTTTGCGGTTTTTGAAAACAGATAACTGCACCGCACCGCAAATTTGCGGTTTTTGAAAAACAGATTACCTTACCATCGGTTTTTATTGCGGTTGTGGTTTATCGGTTACGGTTTATGCGGTTTTACGGTTAATTTTAGTTGCGGTGCGGTTTTTGCTCACCCCTAGATAATATGGATGAACATTTGGACTGGAAAACTGGCAAGGACCGGTACAGGAACCGATACCCGATGGAACCAATCGGGCCAGAACCAAGACGATATTCTTATGGATTTTTGGAACCGGGAACCAATAGGAATCAGAACCGGTAGAACCAGCAAAAATTGAAACCATATATTTCTATTTCTCGATGACCGGTTCTAGCATTAAATACACGACAAGAATCGGTGGGGAACCGGTACAACCGACGGTCCGGTTCGGTTCTTAATGTTCGCCGGCTTCGGTTTCCGGTTTAGACAGGCTCTAGTCGGGTCGGTTCCTTTGTTCATCCCTAGTAGATAAAGTTAGAATAAATCTAAGTTAAAAAAACAAAAACAAAGATATATATGTTTTTGTAAGCTAGAAGTTGTTAAAGAGGTTTGAAAACGTTGATCCACATCTACACCAAGAAGATGACCTACAGACCTTTTTAGGTCTACAACTTTCAAAAAGAACAACAATATGGGAAGCTTAATGTGTGTGCATGATCTATACAGCAGAAATAGAAAAGGCCAAGAAGATCCCCAAACAAAAAACAAACAACACTTAAGAGACCTAGTCTTAAGTGACCTAGTCGATCAGGATAAGCTCAACAACATAAACGATTCGCATCAATTCCAAAACTAAAAAGTAGTGTTCAATTAACAAAAAAAACATTATACTCAACTAAAAATGCACATCAATTACTACTCAAAACAATTAATCTCTAACAAACTTTAACCTTTCATCCGTTTTCTTCATCAACTCAACATACCTAGAAAACACATCAAAACCCTCAATCTTTCCTTCCAATTTCATCTTTTCACCTAATTCCTCAACAACATTCCCTTTTCCACCCTTACAACAATCTCCAACAAACTTCCCATAATCAATTCTAGGCACCTTCATACCTTTCTCCATCATTTCTTCAAGATACTTACAAGCTTCCATTGATCTTCCAATCCTAATAAGCCCTCCAATAAACACAGTATACGAATTATCATCCTTACAAACACCCTTCTCACTCATCTCCTCCCACACTGCAACTCCCATTTCATAATTCTCCATCATAAAAAACGACTTAATCATCATGTTATACGTATGTATACTTGGCTTAATCCCACTCTGAATCATCTTTTTATAAATCCTCACCGCATCATCTGGCATTCGCCTATTTGTCATCAACTTAATCAAAGCATTGTAAAGTCTTCCATCAGGAGGACAATCTTTTTCCTTCATTTCCTTTAAAAGTCCATAAACTTTGTCCATTTGTTTCACATTTCCAAATCCTGTAATCAAACATGTGTAAACAGCAGCATCTGGTTTATAGTTGTGATTCAACATGTTTTCGTAGGATTCGATTGCTTCTTTCATGTTCTTCTGTTTGCATAAATCCCTAATCATGATTGTAAAGCTTCTTGTGTTACATGGACCTTTTGATTTCATGATCTCAAAGAGCTTAATTGCTTCAGATCTTTTGTGGGATTTCAAGAGTCCTTCAAGCATGATGTTGTGTGCAACAATGTCGGGTGTGAAACCCTCATCTGTCATCTCGTTCCATATCTTTCCTGCTTCTAGAAGGTTCCCGAGTTTACACCAACCGTTTAGTAAGACTGTGTATGTTTGTATGTTTGGAGTGAACTTACCTTTTAAGTTGTGGAATAAAACCTGAGCTTCTTTTCCAAGCTTTGATCTTCCAAGATTATCGAGTAAACAGTTGATGCTATCTACTCCAACTTTGAAATTGTGTTTCTTCATTAAATCGAACATTCCTACTGCTTTTCTTCTTTGTTGACCTGCTGCAAATGCTTTGATACAGATGTTGAATGTTTCTAGTGTGAGTAATTGTTTCTCACCCATTTCATTGAGTATAGAGATCATGGTTTCGAATTGTTTAGTCTTCCCAAGAATGTTCATCATTGTGTTGTATGTTCTTGAATCATGGTGATACCCTGGTTGTTGTCCTGCCCATGAAAAGAATCTGAAAGCTGGTCTTCTAGCATGTTTGAATCTTTCTAAAACATCGATAACCAGATCATGAGTTAAGTTGATCTTACAATCGTCTAATACAGCTTCCATGTTTCGATCTAGGGCAAATAACTCCTCAATCACGTTACAGATCCTTTTGACTTCCTCTTCATCGGCTTCAGATTTCACACGTTCAGCATCTTCCGCTTCCGATTCATCATCGGAATTCACAACTCCGCAAAAACCCCTAATTTGGTTGTGTCGTTTTTTCTCTAATAGATCCATTGAAGGAAATGATATAAAGGAATGCACATGAGTTCCTTTAAAATTCACACACCTCGTCGATTCTGAATGCGAATTTACAGGGATATACATAAGTTTTGAAGTTACTAGCACTTCTTCTTGTACAGAAGAGACCCAAGAGGAGTGTGGCAAAATAAATGGAACTTGACAGTGAGCACGATCGAGACTATTATCATCACAAGCATAAAGCATACGAGACAAGGGCAAAGAGCTACCGTTAAGCAAGAGCACTTCCCTTCGAAAGGGTTCTCGTCTTCCTCGAGGCGTCGCCGCTGCTTGTCGTCCGTGAATGACAGAGCATACGCCGGCGGCGGCCCTGTGGAAGATTCCGCCATCTTTGAGCTTGAACTCCGATAATATTGACCGGTTCTTTAGATTAACAGCCATTAAACTCCATGGAAGTTGTTAGATTTAGTAGATGCACCGACTAGCGGCGAATTGGCGATCAGTATTGGTGATTGGAGTGGTGAAGATAGGGAGTGTAAACTATGACGTACAACTAACGATGACAGATATTGTTTCGGATTTTGTTTATAGAAAAAAGTCTTGGGCTAGCTAATTTTATTTTAGACCATGGACTCTTCTTTATCCATTTAAGGGCCCATTTATTGCTATGTAACTTGTAAAGTCTAAACCAAATGTAAGGCCCAACTAATTATATAAAGCAAGTTATTTGTGTTTTGAAAATGTTTGAAATGGTTTTTATGATTTTGTCAAAATTGTATATTTAATCTTTAATCTTTTATTGTATTCGGATGGTCATTATGGTTTGATCTTGTTACGTTTTTCATCCATATGGTTTGATCAAAATTGTTCGTTTGGTTTCTAACTTTATATATATGTAAGGAACGAAAAATAAAGCAAAAACAAACCGTAGGGACAACCCAAATGCAAAAACAAAGTTAGACATCAATTTTGACCAAACTACAAGGATGATTTTAGTAATTTACTCAAGATATTATTTTGATGTTTAATATGAAAAATTAAGGTCTAATTGCAGCATAGAATATCTCAATATTCGACATATAGAATAACTTTATTGGTCTAGTATGTGTCATTATGCATTCAATGTATGTCATATGTCAAACTTATTCTATTTTTTCGTCCAAAAGCTTGATGTATGGGTAGTTATCAAGAAGAATAATTCTTCATAATAACACAACAAATATGTGGTTAATGTGGCAACACCCTAGCTATAAATTGAGGATCTATAAATTAAAGGTCTCGATTAAAAGTTAACCTTTTACTCTTTCGGAAAATATCCTTTGTTCTATTACTATGAGTTTCTGAAACTCAAACTAGTCGTTAGCATGATCATCAAGAATAAACTTATTCCGAACAATCAACCATTGAGATTGATTTAAGAATTTCTTTTCAAGGATGAGGTATGAGGTCATGTTTGGTGTTTGTGGAATAACAACCATGTACATTGAATTTGGTATCTTTATTTGGTGGCATATGTGAGAACATGAGAAAAATATTGTTCTCACACTATCTATTTTTGTGGTGCTTACCATGGTTGGCAAAAGTTTTTTCAACCATTGGAGAAAACATCTAAATCACTAAAGGATATGTTTCTTTTACAATTCAATGGTTGTTGTGTGTGATGTCGGTGTTAATTTTGGACCTTTTGCTACCCAAGAATCCATGATGATCTCATTTCATTATTCTAAAACGAGTTCTTGTTCTTTGATTTATGTTCTTGAGTTAAAGAGAGAGGATTAGTATTCAAACACAATAAAATGGATAGGGGTTTAGAGAGAAAAAGTGGTATTCTGTTTTTGATCGTCAAAGAAATCATATTAACCGAAGACTAGCCCTCAAAGATATGATAATCACGATTTGACTTTATCATAAGTGGTCTTAACTATCACCCATTATCATAACCCTCAAACAAACTTACTTTTTGACATTAGAAAAGTTTTATACATAGAACTTTACTAACGAATTGTTTTTGTTGTTTCAAAATAAAATTATGTTCTTTATTACCTTATGAAAACATAACAAATCATTAAAGTTTATATTAAACTGCTCTATGTTCTCTCTTATAGCAGATACAACATGATTTCTTTGTTTTATCATTCTTAAGTTTCAAATTTTGTTACGAATTATCCAAACCTTTTTTCAATATTGTTTTTGCATGTTTTCTAAAATTCTATTAATATTTTACAATTTGTTCTAATCTTTTTACATTTTTTTTATATTTTTGTCAATGTCCTCTTTATGTATTTGTTTTTATGTATGCTTTTTAATTCGTTTCTACAAAATAGTATTTTCCTTTTCACAATTCTTTTTTATAGAGTTATCTTTTCTTTCACATTTTAGTTTTCTTGCATTAAAGTTTTTAAAAATATGTAAAGTTCACTTTCTTGCATATCTGTTTTCATAAATTTATAAAGAAATATTGTAAAAAGGAATTTTAATAAAATACTAGGGCAATTGGTGGGGGAGGGGGGATGGGGGACAAAGTAAAAAACTTAAAATCAAAGTTTTAAAACACTGTCGTAAAAAGTTGAGACAATC